ACATCTCCTTATTTATGACAAAGAATTGGCTGTATAATCTAAAAAACAGGGTTTATAAAGTCTTTGTCATTCTCTGCAATGATCACATGCTTTCTTAGGTCTTTTTCTTGGTCTCTTTTATTTCTTTGCTTTCTTTTGTCATTGCACAAAAAGGCCTCATACAATTGCGTTCTTTCACTATACTCTGAATACTGTTGTAACATTTAATCCTTCATTAAATATTAGAATCAAGGGTTCCTACTCACACATTGCCGTAGCAATGAAAACAAGAATGCTGAATATCAAATGCAGTTTATCAAAGCTACATTTAAAAAAGAATCCTAATTCGTTTAGGAATAATGCAGGACTAACATTGTTATAAATAAGAAAAAAACCCAAGTTTCACACCTTTTCCAATTCTCCAAAGTACCCCTGGTGGTACCAACAACCTCATCTGAGCAAAACAGCAAGCTTTAAAAAGCACTGCTGCAAACAAAAGTCCACAGATAAAGTTCATCTCCTGACATTAATTACAACCCTAAAACTCATATCTTTGCACTAAATTATATCTTAACATGCAAATTTGTCCTTGCCTAACCCTCCCCTGTCTCCGATGGAGGGAGTCACAGCTCCACTGTGTCTATGTTTTGTTAAGTAGGAGAGGAAAACCCAGAGGTTCATTTGGAAATCAGGTGGTCTACACCCACAGAGAGCACGCTGTTCTGGTGATTCAGGGCACAGAAAAAGTCCGAAAACATTAGAAAACAAATCTTTATAGATTAATACTTAACATGCACATAGAGGTCTTAGCCTTCAGCTTGACTAATGACTCGTCAAACAGTTATTAGTATGTTGCTGATAAACTGGATTCATATGACCATCTCAGTCTTAGCTCAACCCTGCTATCGATGGAATTATTTTTTTACGAAATCCTGTTGTACAGTAATAATATGCATGTTATACTGATTAACATGGTTTAAAAACGTGACTTTCAGATGTAAAAGTATTCAGTACAGTACTAAAACTTCACATACCAGACATGGCAGTCATGTGCCTGGCTCCGGTCTCTCTCAGCTAAGACCCATGACTGTAACACATGACTAGCTCACGGCTGGATTACTGCCTCACTCAAATGCTCACACCACCCAGTGCCTGCTGACATTTGAGCTGAGCACACCACTACGCTCACACCGAAAACATCATCATCATGTCCATAAAGAAACTTCCTGTCTGTCTTTCTTTGTGAGTTACTTTGGGAAATATTCTTTAAGTTTATAATGCTTCATTAGTGCATCGGAAATAACAAAAATATACAAAGATATCACATTTACTGCACTACAATATGCTGCAGGTTTATCTGTTCATTGTGAACTCATCCAATGTGAAAATATTATGGGTATCGACATGGAAATTATATTCAAATTATATTCAGTTCAAATTATTAAAAAGAATTACACTGCCTTCCAGAAATGTTGGAAATGGAAATTGGGGGAAGCAGGGGGGATCTTAAAGTCTGCACATCAAACTATATTCAACTTTATATTTAACTTTAATCTTCAAGCAGGCTAGTATACATACTAACTTTTTAAAGGATATTTGAATTTATACCTCCAGCAACGTAAATAAAGTGATAATATTAATCTTTTACCCCTTTTCTTTGAGGTGCAAATGAATTTACCACACTGAAAAGCGTTTAACTCGCCCTCCTGCCAAAGAGTCTTGTCAAAAGCACAGCAGCAGCTTTGTGTGCCTAAACGTGTTATTTAATCAGAAGTAAGGATCAGACGGAAATGAAAACTGATAGGAGAAACTGATGTGCTGGTTGATGTCATGCTACATCCAATATGTGCCTGAGAACTTTTTGTAGTGCAAACCTGCTCAGCAAAAGGGAAAATATATTCATCAGTTCAACCATTTGGCCATAACATGAAGTGCTGGGTAAAAGCTAATGTAGTGAGCAAAGTTATGAAAGGCACGAGAGCACTCACACAAAAGCTCCTCTGCACTTCCATGCTCTGGCCTTGGACAAGAGGGTTATGCCCCAAAACTCAAAAATCCCACAACCTGCGCTGAGCACCTCACAGGTTACAGCGTTGCACCTGAGTGAACTACAAGACCTTTGAAACAGAGCAGTCCAAAGTGAAGATGTTTGGTCATAGTGTACATTGCAACATGCAGAAGTAGTGGAAGGCTGATGATTTGGGCTTGTTTTGTAGCCACAGGGCCTTTCAGTCATTGAGTCGACAGTGAACTCCTTTGTATACCAAAGTATTCCAGCGTCAAATGTCAAGCCATCTGTCCAACAGCGAAAGATGAATCAAAATTTGGTCATGAGACACTGCAACGTTTTCAAGCACAACAGCAAATCTACAACAAAATAGCCGAACAGCCCAGACCTCAATTTGATTAAAAATGCTGTAGTGGACCTTTAATAGAGATGTGTGTGAATGAAGGTCTGCAAACCTCAATAAACAGAAACAACTATAAAAAGAAGACTGGGCCCAAAACCCTCCATAATAATGTGAGAGACTGATAATGATCATCTCAATTTATTGCTCCTAAAAGTGGTTTTACAGGCTTTTGAATGATGGGTTGTGCTCAATTTTTCATACACCTGTCCTGCATTTTGGTTTGGTGTTCGACTTTTTAACTGTAAAACTATACTGTAGAATTGAGCTCAAAAACACTAAAACCCTACAGTTTTCACAGTATTTGAGCAATCCCTTATGAATACACACAATCACCATCCTTTGTTAATGCTTAGACTTTTCTTATAGTAGTAATGAACAGTTTATATTGGCGTGTTTGCAATTTTTAAATTGAGCAGAGCATTTAAACTGTAAAGAGCATTATCCTCTCTACTAAACACAGATGTTATGCTTAACATGAGAAATATCATCAAATGAATATAAACAATAAAGCAAGATGCGCTGGAGACAGTTTTTTTATTTTGTTACTTTCAGATGCATTATATTGCCAAAAGTATTCATTCACCCATCCAAATCATTGAATTGCAGGTGTTCCAGTCACCGTGGTCACAGGTGATCAAGCAGTTATGCATGCAGACTGCTTCTAGAAACATTTGTGAAAGAATGGATTGCTCTCAGGAGCAAAATGAAGTCCAGTCGTGAAATTTCCTTGCTACATATTCCACAGTCTTTCCACCCAAGTGAATTGGAACAACAGCAAATGAGCCACAGAGAGGTAGGCTAGGTAAAAGAACAAGGATTTCAGTGTTGGGCTCTGCCCCTTAGTTTCAGTGAAAGGAACCGCTAACGCCATGTCAACACATTTTGGACAATTTCATGCTCCCAGCTTTGTTCCTCTTCCAACATGACTGTACGCCAGTACACAAAGCAAGATCTTAAAAATGGGATGTCACTTAAGTTCATATGCATGTGAAAACAGATTAACAAATGCTTTTGGCAGTAGATCCTGACTGATACAGAAAATTTGAGACCAACATTTGGTGATTTAAAAATTTAAAAAATTGGCTGATATTTCTTTTCTTCAGGCACATGACACAAACATTTGTGTAGATATTTATACATCTTATGTTTGGCTTTATATGAGTATTGACAGGTGTCCCAACCCTGTAGGAAAAACAGGGAGCAAACTGAAATTCATATGTGCCACCAACTGCATTTTGAAACATCCATCACATTGTATTCTTCTGATACGTCATGTGCGCATGGTTCTCACCAACAGCCTTCAAAGAGGGCAAAATACACCACAATTAAAACTAGAAGGCAAACAGTCAAGCAAGGACAGAAACACCAAGAGGCACTGTGGTGGTTCATGCCCTGACGACAAGAGCCAGGCAGTAAGCGCTGCAGTTTTTGCTGTTAGCCAGTAGCTCTAACTTTGTTAGAGCTCATACTATGTGGAAATATCATCACACTGTTAATCAAAGGGTGATTTTTAGAACACTCGAGCCTAAGATTAGCTGGCATAATGTTAGCTTATAACGAACTGTTGCTATTGTTGTTTAGCCAGCTCGCTGTCAGCTGTCCGGAGATGGGAGGGTAAATCTAATCTGCTGACAGCTAGCAATTATGACATTATCAGTAAAAAAAATAGCATGTGCATGCATGGTTCTGTTTGTCACAGCCCTGAGATGAGGCGTGAGGTAAGAAGAAAGAGGATTTTAAAATTGAAAGGAACTTATGGATGTATTATTTATGTGGTTGGTTTCTAGCAATATACATGAAGCATACAGTGATGGAATTAAAGATGACAGCGCAATATGATGGCAAACCGCATGTATTTTTAGTGAATTATTTCCAGAGTATGCATTACTTTATTGAAAGACAAAATTACACACAAATCAATGTATATTTATGAGTACAACATTCTTGTTTTCTATTAATTAACCTTAAAAAAATTTCTTTCTGTGTCATAAAGAGTGCCCGCTAGTGGGAAAAGGCCCAAACTCATAACATGGTTGAAGGACATTTATACCCATCGCTTCTTTACTTTTTTAAATTTTCATTTATTAGTTGATGAATGAAAATTATTTATCTATACCATTATATTGGCTAATATCATCAGCCAGCTGTTTTATCAGTTGTGCTCTTATATTCGTGCTTCATCCAAGCCTGACCTAACTTTTATTGTTACAGACAAATTTACTAAGAAAAGCATATATGTATATATCTGAAATTATCGAACATTTCCCAAGTGAACTCTTGTTTGCACTCACAAATAAAAAAAACAGACATAGCTTCCACCCACAGTTTAACACGCTGACAAACAGACACAGTTCACTGAAACTTTCACACTCCCTCTATATGTGCATCTCCGCCCACTCAGTCACAGCAGGAGAAGTTTTGGAGGCTTACTTCCATAAAGCGTTACTGTGAGTTGCTCAGATGCAGAATGAACATAAAATTATTGCCAAACTAAAGTCCAAATCCATCAAAAGGAAACAATCACCAACGTAACCGGCATTAATAAGTCTAAACAAAACACAAAAGCTGTGAGTATTGAAGCAAGAACCAAACAGTGTTTGTGCTACATACCTGTGAGGAGAGCATGGTAGTGTAAACCTCTTTCCTTGTCTTCATGTGAACATACATCAAACAGGTAGGCCTTGATGGGTCCATCGATGAAGTCTGCAGCAAAGTCAAACAGCACGACTCCAAACATCACCACCACGATGGCCCATATGCTTTTCAGAGACCTATCTCTGACGAGTGCTGGAAAACAACAGTACACATCAGCACTCAGCACGTACCACAGAGAAAGATTAAAATAATAATACACTGACTACATCAGTACACTAAGGAGCCTTATCTGTCACATTCACAAGTTTAATTAGGCTTGATACACATCACAAGAACCTCAGAGGACTAGCACGTCAGAAGGCACTTAAAATAACAATACAATAATTAAAAAAAGAAAACCTATTACAACTGACGCCATAGCAATTATATTTTAAAACCTGAATGCTTGAACACTAAGCTGCTCTTTTAGAGATATGAAAGATGTCAAATAACACCACAAGAGAAAGTGTAATTAGAAGTTATTAAAGACAATTTTACCATTTCATTAAGAGATACAAGTGAATACTGAAAGACAGGTTTATCATTCCATTAAAACTACAGGTAAAGGAAGGATTTTTAACTTGTCACTTCTTTAAAAAGAAAGTCTGAAGTCGCAAAAAAAAAAAGAGTAAAAAAACAATTTAACACCAAAAGAGCAACTCTGGGAGATGCAGGCCAGCGTTAGGTTTTTCATCTTTAAGAAGAGGGCAGCTACAACAACAGAAAACATTATGTCAAACGACCGCTTTGGCATTTACTACGGCCCCGGGGAACATGGAGAGATAATCAGCTTATCCAGCCTACGTCAGGAGACATACTTTATAGTTCATAAGAGCGCTATAAGAAAGCCAGGAGCCTTTATCTTTAATTCCTTGGCTGTTTATTTGTCTATTTTTGTAATTTTTGCCTGAAAACACGCACAAAAAATCCTCTAACAGCTTCAGGCTAAACTGAACCACCTTGAACACTTTGGATGATATTGAAGAAAAACAATTCTCTTTGTGTGTGTATATCAGAACAGAGTGGGTTTTTTACATTTATTTTTGCACCATCAAAATTATAAATGAAGAGGTAAAAAACCCAACAAACTCATAGCAGTGACTTGTGAATGTGATGTTCAGCATGGTATAAAAACTCTCAACATCTGCGCTACTAAGTTTGATTGAAAAGGAAATTAACCACGACAATACTGCATCTAGTTTAATTGTGTTTTGACAGCTGATATCCAGGCAAAGACGGCACAAGAGTGCAAAAGGTTCAAACTACACACAATTAAGACACTTAACGAATGTTACTGTTGAGCTGACTGCTGCATTTTAAATGTACAGCTTACAGCAAATAAAGCTGCCCATACACACCGATTTCCATTATTCCTCACAAAGCAAACCTCTGAATCTGAGTTTGTCACATTTTTGCAGAGTGTTGCTTTCATGATTTTTCAATCAAAAACAATGATTCGGGTTAAGTGGATGATGTGCTTCAAATCAGAGTGACTTAAATTATGGCCAAATGTGCATTTAATCTCTGAATGATTCCACAGGATGCTGAACAATCACACACACGCTGTCACTGCCAGCAGTGAATCAGTTAGTGTTTCTGTTTTTTAAGAGAAGGCTTTTTACCCAACCTAATATTGCTTTTAATGGTAACAGATTCTTTCGTGTGCAGACGCTCTTGTGATGCTGTTTGGAGTCTAATGCAGTGGTCTCCAACCTTTTTTGCGCCACGGACCGGTTTATGCCCGACAATATTTTCATGGACCGGCCTTTAAGGTGTCGCGGATAAATACAACAAAATAAAACTTATACCAGGCTTATACCCCAACCCCCGGGGGTTGGGGACCGCTGGTCTAATGGATTCAAATGGAGCATCTCTGGGCCCTACTTTTTCCTTTCATGATGAATGTATCATTTTATCCCCCAAAATCTGTGCACAAGTAGAAATTTGGATTCAGAGTCTTTAAAAGTCTTACAAAGAGGTTGAAACTTGCCCTTAACCTTGTCCTGAAGGTAAAAGAAGACAGCAAAACCTAAATCAGTTCAGTTCATATGTATTTATATCAAACCAATTCCTACAACAATCACCTCAATGCGTTTTATATAAGGTATGTAACGTAAAGAATCTACAATATTCGAAAGAAACCCAATGATCACAGGAGCATTTGGTGACAACGGGAAAGAAAAACTCCCTTTTAACAGGAGGCTCACACCAGGCTCAGTGAGGGGCAACCATCTGCCCTGACTGGTTGGGCGTGAGGGGAAAGAGACATTCATTTATTGTGGAAGAGAGCCATAGATTAATAATGGCTAATGATTAGATGCAGAGTGGTGTATAAACACAGAGAGTGAAACAAGGTGAATGAAGAAAAAATGCTAAGTGCATCACAGGAAGCCCCTCCCAGCAGCCTAAGCTTATTGCAGTGTAACTAAGAGAGTGCTTAGGGTCACCTGATTCAGCCCGAGCTTTATCAAAAAGGAAAGCTTTAAGCCTATTCTTCAAAGTAGAGAGGGTGCCTGTTTCCCGAATCCAAAGTGGGAGCTACAGGAGTGGAGCCTGATAGTAAATCTTTGGAATACTTTTAAATCAAAGCTAGCGTGGCCTCAAAGCATTTTCTGACATAACAAGATTACAGATAGCACACTACCTCCACTCTTGTTCTGTCTGAATTCCTCACCCTCAAGTTTTCTTCACTGATCCCTCACCTGAGATGACAGCATCTCCATTAAGGAACAGGGTGATTCCCACAAGCATGAGGATGCCCAGTGCCAGGATGTAAGGCCTCCGCCGGCCCCACGGCGAGCGGCAATAGTCGCTGGCTGAACCGATGATGGGCTGGAGCAGGAAGCCCAGGATGGGGCTGATCAACCACACCAAGCTGTACAGACTCTGGGGCAGGCCCACACTCAGGAGCACCGGCGTGACAAAAGCTGCCTCCACGGCATAGCAGAATTCCCTTCCAAACATGACCAGGCCGTGGAGAATAAGGCGCCCCCGAGAGCGCCTGTGAGGCTCCACAGCTCCAAAGACAGAGTCTTCCACACTGTCTACGTAGTCCACATTGCTGCCATTGCAGTCTGTTGAGTCCTGGTGCAGAGAAGTGCTGATGTGTTTGCCAGGCTCAGAGATCCGGCAGGGTTGGGGCCTCACAGACTGATCTTCTGATAACAGAGTCATAATTGAAAATGAGGGGGGTAAAGGACAGAAGGAGAAAAAGAGAACAGGAAGGGAGTAAAGAGGAGATTTAGATGAAGAGAGGCAAAGAGGTAGCTTTTGGTAGTCTCTCTCCGTCTGCCAAGGGATGGATGAAATGCCAAAACTGGCGCTTGGCTTGAGTTAATCCTCTTCACTACTGCATAGCTGAGCAAAGAGTTCAAGCGCCACACAGCTTTATTTTGCATGTGAAGGTCTGAGCAAGACTCGGCGAGGAGGAGAGAAAGACAAGGGAGGAGGAAAAAGAAGGGAGTGTTTTAAAGAGATTACAGAATGGCTTTTCCTATTCTGTCTAGTAAAGGCCTCGGGCAGCTCATGGGGCTGAGTTAGTTTTGGCAATGGGTGGCACTACTGGCCACTAATGACTGGCCAGTAGTGTTTACTTTAAAACAAGTAAAGATGACTGAATTCACAAAGCTAAATTCATGTTTTTCTATCCAAACGTGAGCCGGCACACTAGTGTGCTGTACAACTGAAACAACAGCTAAAACAATATTTATCTGTTTAGGAGTGCAAGTAAATATTTGTAATGTGTGATCTTAATCCAAAAGTGTACTTTACTGTTTTTTATCAGCATATTTGTAAAGCAATTAATTTGAACAGTTGTGGACAACAACACTAATTATATTTTGGCATTAAAAATAATACATTTGAATAAACAGCTTGTGCATACTGATGAATGAACAATTACAGAATGATTCTGGTCATTCGAAATATTGTTAAAAAATTAAATACTGTTAATTTATGGCAGCTATGATGTAAACCTAATTGTTGCAAATCTAATTTAGGGGGTTAGTTTAATTGACTGATTTTTTTTATGCAACTCAAAACTGAATAAATGTCATTTTGTGCAGGTATTCAGTTTTTGGTTGGAGGCAGGGTAAGGAGAGGGGTGGTAATTGTACATTTAAGCAGCCTTCCTTTGTAACATTACCGGTTAACTCTTGCATTTTGGTTATATTTCATGCCTCCACAGTATTATTGCCTCTGTGTATGCCAAATTTTGAGCTACAGATCAATTTAGAATAAATAAACACAAAATGGGGGTGGTTTTGAAACACTTGGAGAAAAAGGCCTATTATGACATGATATCATGTGCTGTTTTACTTAAGACATAGCAGCCGTGATAAATAGATTTGATTTCTTAAATCTTCAATAAGGGTTTTTTGTATAACCATTACAATCATTAAACACTGTCCTCACTACTATATCATAAAAAAAATCTCTATAACTGCAATCCATAAGTATCAATATTAATTTAGCACTAATGGCAGCTCAGGTGCTTTTGTATTATTTTGACCCCCTCCCCAAACCTCTTGATTTTGTTTTAATCTCAGTTTAATCATAGTTAGGTCAGAATAAGTTAACTCTCTTTTTTGTTAGTTTATTTTGTTACAATATTGTTACATTTTTCATCACCCCTGTTGCTTTCATATCTACTATTTTAAGGAACATCTCCTTTTTTCTTTACCATTTAGTTTCAGTTCCATCCCTGCTTTAATTTAAGGTTATATAAATCACTTCTTGTGTAAACATTATAAATAACAATTGGGATTTTTACTTTGTTGTGTGGATCCACTGTCTCTCTTACTGTCACCATCTCATCATGTGCTTATTGGAGCCAAGTTTTTATTGGTGTTGTAGTAAAGAAGAAAAAGGCTGATTGTCAAGCTCTTCAAGTGTGGATGACGACATTAGATATAGCAGAATCTCTTAGAATGCTGTGACCTCTAAATACTTGGCAGTTACAGTTACCTAAGGCTGCTACCTAAAGGGCAGTCTCAAAGTTAAGCGTCTTTCTCAAAATTAGCATCTTGTGTGTATCATCAGAGGACATGAACCAGGAGACACGCAGTCTGCATGCAAGTGACACACAAACCATCCTTTGTTCGTACTTCAACCATTCAGACTTCATCCTGAAAGTATATCTTCCAGCAGTTGTCCCCAGTATGTATAAGTCCCCATCTCTATAATAAAGGATTAATCTTTTAGGACAAATCAGTGCTAAGCAGCGTGACAGGACACCCTGGAGTGACGTACCACTTCCCAGAGGTCCAGTCCAGAATAAAATGCTAACAATTACATCAAATGAAGTTAGGAAATCCTGAGCTATTTGTACTTGTTTCTTTTTTATGAGTTTAAATTCATTTGAAATAGTATTTCATGCCCCTTATCTCATAGCTGAACTTCTCTTGCAACATATTATATCATCAAGATTAAGCGGTTTCCAAACATCTTGAGTGATCAGAAGAAAAAAAACCAGCATAGCATTTGATTAACTAAACCGCTTGATTCAGATTTCTGTGAATTATTAGCATTTCCACGAAAAAGTCTTTCATGTGGTCTTAATCAAATCTCCATGACATCAGAACAGGCTCAGGAGAATTTACTTTGACCGCCTGTTTCTTTAATAGTCACCACTCCTTTAACCTAAAAACAAACAAATAAAAAAAAGGCAGTTTGGAAGCGCTGAACTCATATTGGTAGTCTTTAAAAGATTCATATAAAGGACAAGTGCCAGTTAAAATACGCATCACGGGACAATGCTTTGAGCTAACAAGCTGACATTTATGTTTACCCAAGGATGCCATGTTAAGAGAACATTGTTTTTTCTCTAATTTACCCTCTAGACATAATAAAACATAGTTTAATTGTTGAGGTTGGAACAATTTACCCAGTGCAAAAAGACTTCCAGTCCTATGGAAGTATATGGGAAAACAGTCGTCACACGCTTGCCTGCATACACTCAAATGGTGAACCATGGCCTGAAATGTGCAAACTCTTTGCCGGCTGTGAATCCTGCAGTAGTGTGTTGGCCAGAATTGTGTTATATTTCCTCTCCTGTGTCTAAGAATAACAATGTCATCTTGTTAAGTTTATTCACCTTAAAAGAGGTCAGGGCCAAAGCTTCGGCTGCATGTGGTTATTTGGTGCTATTTTATAAAGTAAAAGTGTGGCTAGGCTATAACTGAAGCACTGCCAGTGTCATTCAGTAACATTTTGTTCAGACAGTTCAGGAAGACAGATGTAGGAGTAAATTTCTGCAATCTGTGACCTTTAAGTACGACTGTGCCCTTTAACGAGGACCATCTATTTCATCTTGGGGGGAAAAACATCCCCAAATTCATCAACAGCTTAAAGTAGCGAAACATGGCATTATGTATGAGAGGTAGGCACAAATACGCTGTTGTTTAAGAACTAATGCCTATGTGCTTTCTGTCTGAAATATAGCTGCTCTTTTTTCCCCTCGATTTTGGAAAATACTCCTTGATGTGCTATAAGCAGACAGAAATAAAATGAATGGATGGAACAACCTTAGATGTATGGATAAGAGACACTTATAATAATTTTTAAGATAATAAATCTCTTTAGCCCCATCACCAATTTCTCAAAGATTCTTTAATTTAACTTTCACCTAATCAACACTGTAAATTACAGAGTAAGAGGTACTTTTATAATGATGAGTCAGTAAATACTGACAGCGGTGAATCTATAAGATAGTCTTTCTTGGAATCTGATGCATCTATGTGACCTTTATTTAAAAAGCCGTGCTCGACAGCCTTTGAAAAATGGAGACAGGCTTTAAGACTTCAGAACCTCCACTGGACAAATGATGCACTGAGTGAACTGGTTTGCTTTAAATGACTGCGGAAAACTAATTATGTCAGCATCTACTCAATCCTTTGTTTTACTCTTTTTGGAAATATTTTCCATATGATGTATCTATAAAAGTCTATATGTGTGACTACTGGAACACATACACTTATATATAATGTGTGGTTTCATTTAAACTCTGAAGCACTTTGTACCTCCGTGTTTTAAAAAGGTGCTATACAAATAAAGCTATTGTTAATGCAAAGGCTTCTCAAAGCACATGCTATGATGGACGACTCGTACAATAAACCATGAAATCACAAGGGGCTTGTGGTTGACTACAGAAGTACTTTCAGTTAATCAAGTGATGGTGCATGTGATCCCTTGGGGTAAAGGTGGGAGCAGTCAGATGTAGGAAGTGAGAAGAAAAAGGTCATTTTCATTTTCTAATGAATGCTGCTCCCGGCAGCTCCCTTATGCACACAAGGGGTCATCATGGCAAGCAGCTCCACATGTTTGATTTGACAGATTTTTATTTTTTACACCAGATGCCCTTCTTGAGACAATGCCAAAGGGACTGGTTTCTCTTTGTGTGATCAAACTGGGGAGCTTTTATTATTTTAGGTGAAAATGTAAACCACTACACTGGAGAATCCACTTTCTTTGAGACTGCTCTACATTGTGCATATGATATCACTTTATAGATTAGTTTGTGTTTGTCATGTTCATATTTAGAATAGACAACCAATATATCCCAATATTCAGCTTTACGAATGCTGAAGTGATACTTAATAAAAAAAAGATTTAAAAAAAAAAGATCTAGCCTATTAGAAAAAGAGACAGATCCACAAAGTAAAGCGTCAAGACTTCTAAAGCGTCTGAAGTCTGAGGAACAGCTCAAAATGTTGCAAGGCAATTAAAATCCTTATTAGAGACTTATTTTTCCTCTTCTTTAACTTTGAAAACCCAAGTCTAAAGTTACCTTGCTAAACCCCATTCCTGCTTTATAGTAGAGACATCCGATGTAAGCACTATGGAGTCTGTGGGCATTAAAAGAACTGTAAGAGACATTCTAAATACAAAGCAGTTTTCACATTATAGTTGTTGTGGTCAGAGCTGCAGATGCACTCATCATGGGCATAAATGTCACGGTAATTTTGAGCTTTTAATGGTAAATGGTAAATGGCCTGTATTTGCGCTTTACTAGTCCCTAAGGACCCCAAAGCGCTTTACACATCCAGTCATGCACCCATTCACACACACATTCACAATGATTTCTTTGAACTGTTCTTTTCCCAGGATTGTACAGCATACATCTTGAATAGCTTTAAAAACAAGAATTAGATGTACAAGTTTGAATTTATTTTGGATTTTCTCCAATCCACGCAGGGTCAAGAGAGAGTTGGTGGGGCTTTGGGAAGGCCATTTCAGAAGTTTAATGTTAGCCTTTTTTTTTATCTATTCCAAAACACGCTTTGATGTGTGTGCCTTGCTGGAGCCGTATCCAAGTTTTCACTATTAAGCCTAATAGCTGTTACAAAAACATCTTAAAAAAACGTTAATATTCCGGCAGCTGGGGCGCCAAAATACTAGCGTAAAATAACAGAAAATAACTTTCTCATGAAAATACAGTTATTTTCAGTAATGAAAATAGAGTTTGTTGCACTAATTTCACATGGGATTCTGCCTTTTCCAAGTGATTTTAGACATTAAATTAGGAACATTTTAACGTAACAATGAAATTACCTATAAACAAGGTCAATGAATGTGGCAATATGAATCATAATACGTAAATGTACAAATATACAGTTAACAGTTGGTTTAAATAATAATGGATTGCATGCCCTGGGACAGACTGACAGAGGCGAGGCTGCCATATCGCACCAGGTGAAGAGTCTGGACCACGGACACAATAGCGAGAGTGTCCGAGCCGGGGCTCGAACCGGCAACCTTCTGATCACAAGGCGAACTGCCAACTCTTGAGCCACGATCGCCCTAAATAGCAACAATAATAATACTTATGTGATGTAACACAAGCTTATAGGAATCATGTTATATACTTTTCCATAGCATTACATTTGAATTCAACAGTTCGATCTTTCAAATAACGGACAGATATTTGTGAGATCATGATACATTTGTGAATGTATTTTTACAATCTATATATGCATATGTACAAAAAATATATTTAAAAAACAAGTAAATTGTGTTTTACTATATTTACAGTGATGTTATGTTATTTTACCTTTGACATGTAAAATCACAGTCTACTTATGTAAATTTCATGATATTCTAGAAAGACAGTACAAAACAAATCAAATCACTTTTATTGTCACATCACATGTGCAGGTACATTGGTACAGCACATGTGAGTGAAATTCTTGTGTGCGAGCTTCACAAGCAACAGAGTTGTGCAAAATACAATAATGTAAACAAGCAAAATACAAGAATGGCTACATCTGAAACTAATAAATATATGTACAATATATAATAGTATATGCATTTCTGGATGTGTATACTAAATATTTTTCTACGTGTGTGTGTGTGTGTGTGTGTGTGTGTGTGTGTGTGTGTGTGTGTGTGTGTGTGTGTGCGCGTACATATTTTACAAATTAAATAGAGTAAACAATAAATAAAATATATAAAATAAAATATACAGAGTGAGACATGTGCAAAACAGTGGCGTTACTGTACAGTATGGAGTGCATAATGTTGAAGTTCCAGTAGTGAAGCTGAGGTGTCTATGAAGTGTTCAGCAGTCTGATGGCCTGATGGAAAAAGCTGTCTCTCAGTCTGCTGGTTCGGGACCGGATGCTGCAGAACCTCCTTCCTGATGGAAGCAGTCTGAACAGTTTATGGCTGGGGTGACTGGAGTCCTTGATGATCCTCCCCGCTTTCCTCAGGCACCGCTTCCTGTAGATGTCTTGGAGGGAGGGAAGCTCACCTCCAATTATCCGTTCAGAGCACCGCACTACTCGCTGGAGAGCTTTGCAGTTGTAGGCGGTGCTGTTGCCATACCAGGTGGTGATGCATCCAGTGAGGATGCTCTCAATGGTAAATGGCCTGTATTTGTATAGCGTATTTTGCTTGCTCTCAATGGCACAGTGATAGAAGGTCCTGAGGATGCGGGGGCTCATGCCGAATCTTTTCAGTCTCCTGAGAAAGAAGAGGCGCTGCTGCGCCTTCTTCACTGTTTTGTTTGTGTGTACTGACCACGTAAGATCCTCAGCCAGATGTACACCAAGGAAGCGGAAGCTGCTCACTCTCTCCACAGCAGCGCCGTTGATGGTGATGGGGGTGTGTACTTCTCTGCACCTCCGGAAGTCCACTATCAACTCCTTTGTCTTTGCGACGTTGAGGGTGAGATGGTTGTCTTGACACCAGTGGGTCAGGGCGCTGACCTCCTCCCTGTAAGCTGTCTCATCACTGTTGGTGATAAGACCCACCACTGTAGTATCGTCCGCAAACTTCACAATGATGTTGGAGTTGTTAGTGGCTGTGCAGTCGTAGGTGTAGAGTGAGTACAGGAGAGGGCTCAGTACACACCCCTGTGGAGCACCAGTGTTCAGTGTGATGGGGGATGAGGTGATGCTGCCCAGTCTGACCACCTGGCGTCTGTCAGACAGGAAGCTAAGGATCCAGCTGCAGAGGGAGCTGCTCAGTCCTAGATCCTGCAGTTTCCCGTCCAGCTTCGAGGGAACGATGGTATTGAATGCTGAGCTGTAATCTACAAACAGCATTCTCACATACGTGTCTCTCTTCTCCAGGTGTGACAGGGCAGTGTGTAGTGTCAGGGCTATGGCTATGGCTATTTAAAACTGTAAAATATACAGTAAGATACTTTGACATTACTATTTTTTGGAACAGTGCTGTTGATATCAGGTGGAGCTAAAATTGGAGGTGTTTTTCCTTCATTGCTCCATCCAAATTGTGCAATGTACCAGTACTACCGGCAGCAAAACAGTCCCAGAGCATGATGCTACCACCACCATGCTTACAGTTGGTACAGTGTTCTTAGGTCTAACTTTTCTTCTTCTAAACATATCTCTTGTCATTGTGACCAGATAACTCAATCTTTGTCTCGTCTGACCAAAACACTTTTCTTCAGAAGGCATTTGGCTAATCCATATGCTGAAAATTTTAATCAAGCTTGACGGTGTTGACTTCAGAGCAGGAGCTTTGTTCTTGGTCAGCACCCTCTCGGTCTATGACGATGTAAAACTTGCTTCACTGTGGACAATGATGCTGGTTTTCCAGCAGTTTCATGGCAGGGTTAAGCTTTGGTGCTTCCTGGGTTGTTCCTGTGCATGCTAAACAATTTCCTTACATCTGAGGGTGACAGTTTATATACATCAGTGACATAACTGAATAACTTGTTTTTATGTACAATTGTTTGCACTGATGGCCTGCAGTTATGTAAAAATGGCTCCATTAAGCTATTGGAACTGCCAAAGCCACGACATCAAGCCTACTGAAAATTTGTGGATTAAATTTTTGACATGTAAACAACTGTACTGACAACAACTGTACTTGGAACAGCTACAGCTCAAGCAAAGCATCCTCATAAAGTCTCCTCATAGCAGATCACTTGTTTTTCTCTGTACACCATAACAGCTATAGTTAAAAAATCACAGTATTATTTTTGAAGCCATTCTCGCTTTACATTATTCCTTAAAACTTCTGACAGTCGTTCACATGAAAGTGTGTTTAAAGGTAATCCCATGATGCAAGCTCACATTCAGTTGCCCTGTATTTGACCTGACATGATGAGAGTCAGATGTTTCAAGTCACAACGCAGACATTCCTCACATTCTTACATGTCTCAAGGTCTTACACTGCAGCACAATGTGTAATAGTAAATGCAGGAACAAGTAAAAACTGACCAGGTAAACAAAGCTGGCAACTCTGCTATTGCTAGATGGAGGGAAACACTCAGTTGTAAAGAGTCAAAGATGATGTTAGCTTTACTGGGAAGTAAATTTGATTTTGAATGCCACAAATTCCAGGTCATCATCATCTTAGAGGTAAACATTTCAGCTCTCTGTCTACGAAGAATAAAAAATGTCTGTCAATAAGGAGCAAATGAGAAATCTTGATTTCTGAAGGACTGACCTTAAATCTTTGCACACTTCTGCTCTCTCTCAATCAAATGACATTCGTCCTTGTTTACATGTATTCCCAACACAGCCAATTATTTTAAATATATGGTGAGTCATTAAAGCTTTGCTAGTTTTGCAGACATTAAAGCACACCGCTCGGCACACTGGGTCACTGTTACTGCTAGTAATTCCTGCTGTACTTCCCTGTTCTGTCTTTAAAGGATGCGATCACAGTGGAATGATATATACTGTACAGACAGACGTGTTGCAATACTCCAGGGAAGAGGAATATGTTTGCATTTTAAAAAGGCATTGTGGATGTGTTTGCCAACTTTCGATGAAGTCGGGGGGGGGGAAGACTGATTTACTTCAGGAGCAAAATCATTCGAACCTTTAGCGGCACCAGTGGGCTGCAGTGAAGCGATGCAAATATGCAGCAAGATGACTAAATAACTTGTGATGTACAAAATGTTACAGATGAGAAAAGAAATGAAAGCTCCTAAAGAATGCAATATCTCCTGTGAGGATTTCCTTACCCTCCTGTATGTGTATTTTAAAATTTTCAGCTTCTTAGGAAATACTTTAGGGAGCCATCTGTAATAAGACTGTAATATACGCACACCTACGCTATTTTTCTTTTACGTTTTAGACTGTTGTGAAACTATGTTTATGTTTCATTTATGTTTTCAATCCTCTGGAAATTCGTTAGCACTTTTAATATGCACGACTAACAACATCTATGAGTGATTGCAAGTATTTATGAATACGTAGGGAGGGAAGTATCTCATTTGCACATCTTTTCTTTGCTTCACCATCTTCTCTGCTGAGCAGATTGGGGCTCTAAAATTTAAATTTAAAGGTCTGTATTTATTAGTAATGGGCTTTAAATAAATATTTAATAATATTTCTGAGATGTTACTGACTGTCTCGAGGCATACTAAACATAACTATGGTAATTTCTCATGTTCTTCCACATCATTTGTATTTAGGTAATGCAGTTTACTTGTTCTCTTCACATAACTACAAGGTTAGTCAATCAATCATACATACATGGTAAATGGTAAATGCCTGCATTTGTATAGCGCTTTTCTAGTCCCTAAGGACCCCAAAGCGCTTCACACTACATTCAGTCATTCACCCATTCACACACATTCACACACTGGCGATGGCAAGCTACATTGTAGCCACAGCTGCTCTGGGGCGCACTGACAGAGGCGAGGCTGCTGGACACTGGCGCCACCGGGCCCTCTGACATACATGCATGCATGTATCTATGTAACTCTTATCCAACACAGGGTCACAGAGGGGGTTGGGCCAGCTGGCATGGACACATTGGTATTTAAATGATGCTCAGTTGCTTCAAGGGTCCAGTGTGTCAAGAAAATATTCCCCACACCATTACACCGCCACAACGATGAACCATTGATACAAAGCAGAATTGTTTTTTACATCAATTTCTGACCATTTCCTGCAATTCGAGACTCATTGGAGCATGCAATGCGTTATCATTCTTTCACTGTCAAATTGTAGCCTTTTTCCTGTTCTTATCTAACAGGAACAGCACCCGGTGTGGTCTTCTGCTGCTGTAGCCCATCAGTTTCAAGATCTGAGGTGTTGTGAATTCACAAATGCTCTTCAGCATACACTGACTGCAATGAATGGTTATTCTAATCGGGGCTCTGGCATCAACCAAACATTTTCACCCAAATAACTGCCATTCAGGGGATATTTTCTCTTTTTAGGACCATTACCTTTGAACTTTAGAGAGGGCTGAGCAGGCAGCCAGCCTGCCGGGTCAGCCGTTTCTGAAATATCAACATCTGTGCCCTGTTTAAAATCACTTAAATCAGCTTCCATCTCCATTCTGATGCTCAGTTTGAACTTCAGCAGGTGACTGGCTAATTGGATTAGGATTAACAAGCAGCTGAACATGTATACCCAATGAGCTACTGAGTAATTTATTTAGTCAATCTGAATCATCTTCAGAGCCTCCTAACTTGAGCTTGCAGAGTTGCATTAGTAGCTTGCAAGAGAGATATTGGTAAGTGACTTAAACTTCACTTACACGAAAAAGGACCAAGTTGCCTCCTGTCAACATAATCAATGCAGTAGTTTTACTTTCACTTTGTAGGCGTAACGCTTCCTGTCTCTGAAATGTGCAGTTAGTGCAACACGAAAGTCGGATCTACTGAATGTTAGACACAGGTCTCCATGTGGTTTTGAAAAGTTAAGTCCCTCAGAACTTCATTCTTTCAATTAGCCAGCAGGGGGCAGCTCCTCTGGATATAAACAAGCCTAATGCTAATTGAAAACTTCAGTAAACAGTTTACCGATGAATCACGAACACTGGTTTCTGATCTCATTTAATACAGCTTGACATTCATCGTGTAAATTATGGCCTTCTTTAGAATAAAAAAACGCAGGGTGAGCTTTGAAACCCCAAGCCAACGTCTTGAAAAGATGATTTTAGTGGGTGACATCATGTCTGGCTACAACCATTTTTTCTAAACAATCTGTGTGTCAGAATTAGTGCACACAAATCAAAAGCTGTTGTGGGAGAGCAAAACAACAACAAAGTCTGATTAATTTAAAGTTATTGGTACTGCTGAGCTTTCAGGAGATATCCAATCCTCTTTTGCTATGTATGACCATTGCTCACCCTGAGCTGGATAATTTAGCAGATATCAGTAGTTTATGATTAATAGAGTAGGTGTGCTTTGCAAAAAAAAAAATTCACTCACATATTCTGAGGGCGTCTTGTCCAATCAAAACACATAGGCAGAAGTGAATTAGTAAAAATCTTTGTTTACTTTGCACACAGCAGCCTCCTGTGAAATCCTAGCTTATGAAAAGAAAATAACTTTCTTAGTTTCTCTTTTGATTTGTTCGCAGTTATGTTAGACATAATCTTACTGTTAGTCACTCAAATGTGCTCTGCATGTAGCTTTGCTTTATCCAAACCAGTTGTTTATTTCCAGTATGTCAATCACATGTTTAATTACTGATTCCTTCAAATCTTAAAAGGTGGTGCCACTGTGTGATTTTCAAACATTTATAACTTGACTGTTTTGATTGTTTGTTTACAGCTTTGCCTTCACAGCATTGCACTCTATGACTCCTGCTGACAGCATCTGGTTTATCTGTGGGGATGTGAAGCCGTACTCCTGTAGGACCTCAGCCGTGTGTTCTCCAGTAACGGGGTCGGAGGTGAGGCAAGGCTCAGCAGGAGTGCGAGACAGAACCGGGGCTGGTCGGGGGCTTTCTTCCCCACTGGAGTCCTTCATGAAAGAGCCTCTTTCCCGGTTATGTGGGTGTGAGCTCACCTGGTCAAAAGACAACACAGGTGTAACACAAGCATCAGTCCCATCAAAAATCTCTGACCACTCCGCCTGGCTCTTTGAGGCAAAACGCTCTGTGAAGATTCGTCTGAGCTCTGGCCAATCATCAAAGCTCATCTGAGAAGGCAACTCTCCAGCATCCAACTCTAAGCCTAGAAAGAAAAAACAAAAAAACAAAACTTTTTATGACCCAAAAGTAATATCAAGTTAAATAAACTTCAGTATAACAAGCTGGTGCAGAAGCAGCCAACACTTTCATCTCAGTATGGGCTGCTGATCTTGCTGAAGGTCCAAGTTGGCCACATGATGTAATCATTTTAACCACTCGTTACTGCTCTACTAAATAATGAATAATGACTCCATGTGCAGGATTTAAGCACTGACTTTAATATAGCAGTTTTTTTCTGTAATTTCTTATGCACAATTTCTCTTTCAGCCAAATACGACAGACAGGAGTGATCAGCAGCGCAGTATATAATGAATACATGGTATGTCAAACAATGATTTTAATGAACACACGTGTGGGAAGACACTCTGTACGCAGACAGCCAGTAGTCCTCGACTTAATCAAAGCATGAACAGATATTTTATAGCATCAGGGTTTGTTTACTGACGCCCCTTCATGCGTCACCGGTACATTTTATACATAGATCAGATCAACACCAGAATGACTTTTCACCTAGAAAATCATCTTCTATTTTCATGGCTTGGTACTTTCCGTTCTTATCTTAAAATGAATTGTTCCTCTTTCTTGCCGAGACAACAAGGACGGTTCCTCTAAATAAATTTAACTAATGTGTGTGTATGTGTTGACCTCACATGCTCTTTGTGTCACCTCTTCACCTACTGTCTGTGTCTCGTCCTCAAATGCTCCTCAAAATAACCTGCACTTAGACTCTGCTTTCGGTTTCAGTTCTGCAAAAGGCACACTCTGCAAACCTGCAACTTCCTGTCAGCCTGCAACTTAGTCTTTCTGAAAGACACACACTGTTCAACCCCTGAATGCAATATAAACTCCAGATTATATTATTAATGCAATGGTAATAATGACAATTATTTAACAATAGCAGTAAAATAATTTCCCTGCTCCACACTCCCTCTCTCGACCTCTGGAACACCAGAGGTCGCAATACATTGTGTCCTCGCTCAGACCCTCTCTGGTGGTCTCGGACCTCGAGATCTCCAGGATCCTCGTCCCTTCTGTGGTCGCCGAGATCTTCTGCAAAGGAAACAAAACACCTTTTCCTGCACCTCCCTAACTTATCCTATCTGGGACTCTTTAATCAAAAGCCTGATCCTAATTATCTTCTTAACTTATTGACTTGTATTTATGTATACTCTTCAACGTTACTCATCCCTTTAAAACTCTTTAAGCCCTGCTTTCACGTCCGGTTGCTCGCTCTATTTTTCCCTTATCTGATCATCAACATCCTGTGCACAAATTGTCGCTGCTGCAAGTTCCTCTACTCTAAAAGATCCAAAAGAAAACACCCATTCTAATCAATTAAGTTTAAGCATATAAGCAATTACTCCTGTATACATTTCATCATAGCTAAATGCTGCCTTGAAACAACTCCTGTGTGTTAACACTAACTTCATTTTAACCATGTGGTAGTGGGCACATCTGCCATATTGAGATAATCCATCCCACAACGTGGTGGCACTGTGAATGCGGGGTCCTGGAAGTGCGGGTCCTTAGAATGAGGTCCCGCCAGCTCTGGAAATTCTCTGGAAATTCTTCCCACGGGACATTTCCCACTGGGGCAGTTTCATGATGACAAACTACTCTCAGGCATTGACCTAGAAATTGATGGTGACATGCTGCACCCTGAAGCCGTGCAGACCTACCAACGCTTCATATTACTGAGAGATAAGAGGCGGCTCGTCATTCTTTTTTGGCCATTTTTAGAGAAATGTTGTGCCACATAATACTGACCTATGAATCGCCCAAGCCTCAAAAAGGCACCTAACTCAGGGGATGACAGTTTGACAGGCCTTCAATAGCTTTTGCACCATTGAGCCGAAAACTGCATTAGCTGAAAACTTGACACATGTGCATGATGTACATTATGTAAAAAATATTGAGGAAACTGGACAGGTGGATAGGAAAAAAAAGTGACAGGACCATGTTTTCAAAACCGATGGAATTACGAAAGTAGAAAACTACTGTCCGATTTTGATCCCCCATGTGATTCCACCCGGAAAGCATCTGATTGGCAACGGCTTCATTTTTCAGCATCAAAACACACTGTCAATGCAGTAAAAGAATACCTGGATAGAAAGAACCCAGACCTCAAGATTACTGAAAGAGTTATCACTGAAAAAGATATTACTGAAAGATCATCTTGACAGAGAACAAAACAAAAAGCAGCCAACATCCAAAGAAGGGCTTTGAATGATCTTCATTCCTGACGACCACTTAAAAATGACAACAAAAAAAAAGCTTGTGTAGGAGAATCCAAGCTGTGTTGAAGAATAAAAGTTGTTATAAGAATTCAGTTTCAGTGTTTGCCTGTTTCAACAAATCGCTGCATTCATTTCCAATTTTCCAAGTAAAATATGAAGCAATGAGGGCTAGCTCGAGACTTTGGCAGTGTACTGTAATGCTTCACTTTGCTCAAATATTGATCAGAGTCATGATTGGATGGGTTACAGGCAGTTTTCTGATTCATTCATTTTTGGATTGAACCTTAAACTTGATTCTTAGCCACCATAAATGTTTCCTATTGTTGATTCAAATAAGTCAACAAACCTTTAAGCAGCTGTTTGTAGAACTGAGGTTCAATGGCACCAACAGCCATGAACTGTCCATCCGAAGTCTGGTAGGTATCGTAGAAGGGAGCTCCACTGTCCAACATATTTTCTCCTCTAGACCGGTTCCACAAACCAATACTACGAGATTTCCATAAAAACGAACCCATATATGCTGCTCCTTCCACCTGAAGAGTATGAGACAGGAAGACAGGGATTCATATTTCATGTCATTGAAAAAAAAGAAACAATTTTCTTTTCATTTTTATTTTTTCCTTTAATTCATTAGTGTGAGTGTAGATAACTGTCACACATATGACAGAGGATATTGTTTTTTTAAGCAGGTTGGCATGAAAATCTTTAGAGAACAGAAAATACAAAGCAAAGATGAAATGTGGTGTCAGTGCAACAACGACACGCACAAATCACATTCTAAATACTAACACAGCTTTCTGTATTCAGAGCTTATTTAAACTGGTGCCGCTTCCACTGCTGCTGAGTAAACAGAAAAAGCTTGATCAAAAAAATAATGAATGCATGACATAAAAAATGCAAATAATAACATTGCTGGGAGGGAATCAGTCAGCAATAGTGCTTCTGCAAAGGCAGTAAGAGAGTAACTACCATCACTCTCTTACTGCTGATTACAATCACTTTGTGTGACCTCTAATTGACAGCATGCTTATTATTAAGGGTTACATGAGCAAATACGTTTAACTGGATTTATCAATACATCAGCTAAACATACATACCACATAATTAACATTTAACTATGGCAGTGGCTGAAGTTTAAGCTTTGAGTCACATTAATCTTGTGCTTGGACTTTGTTTTTTCCCCTCACGTTTTTTTTGTTTTTTTTACTTGCCTGGCACTAGAAGGGTCAACGACAGCACTAAATTAGCACAAAGGCACTAGTACCGGCCAAATGGTTATCATAAAAACCAATGCTGGCATCAGCCCCGGATTTTACAAGCTGTGCATCTATATAATACAGCTCTGTGAGCCGTCAGAGACAAAGCAGAGTGGAGAAAGATCTCCAGCTAGTCGGGGCTTCAGTGATTTCACTGTTACTCGCTGCCAAAAAAAACCCCAAATTATTGTTTGAAGAATATTGCTTTCTCTTTTGATTATCTTCACTCATGAAAAATGCATTTCTGGTTTAGAACAATGAGACCATAAGTGTGGAGTGCAGTGTTAATAGTCTGTTTTCTTGTGTACCTCATACTGTATACAGCAGCTGAATCCACTCATCCCCTCAATAAGATCTCTAAGAGCAAGAACTGACACAAAAATAGGAGAAAAATAGGAGATCATTGTCTGTCTTTATTTAAAGCTATAAAACCTGCAATCATTGATGTCTTTAACCGCTTGGAAGCAACGCAAACAACTAAGGAACACAACACTGACATATCATAGATTTTTAAATCGATTTGGCAAACATTAGCAAGCAGCTGCTTATTGGACTTGTGTCTGTATCCACCTGCTGAACAAGCACCCAGTATTTATTATCTTGAGTTATATTTAGCTGTTTTTGTGGTTTCTATTATCATCTAAATACTGCCTGTCTGTTGTCTGCTGCCAAGTATAAAGTGTAGTGTTGAGCGAGCCTTCCAGAGTCGTTTCACTGAAAAGAGCTCGGAGGGCAGTGAGAATGAACACTGAAGCTTCAGAGTAGATTACTAAACAATGGGGGGAAAATCATCAAAGCAAAGGAAGCTGCACACACAGGTAATCATACCTTCAAGTGACTCTTTCACAATCAATGTTTCTAAATTCCCTGAAATTGTCTGTAAAGTGCCCACAGGTGTGAATTTAAATATGTCCACGTATGTCAGAATGGCAGAAAAGCACACGATGAGCGTGTAATGCACCCTGCCGTCAGATACAGAGCGTGCTGGCACTGGCTGCAGCCCACCTAAGCATCAAAACGATAGGCATGTCAGGTACGGACGGACAGTAATGGACACTAATAATATAATTGATAGCAGACCAGTGATGTTGAGAGAAAAATTAGAAATCATGTCGAACATGTGTCACAGTTGGTAGTTGTGATGCAGTTGGTGTACTGCTGGGCATTTAATCAGCTCCTGCACTGACACATAGAACAGGCCACAACAGGTGTTTCTACAACCTCACGCTTCATTAAAGAGAATCCAAGGCAATATAATAAACTAATCAAATTGATGTTCTGTCTATGTAGTATCATTAACAACTTGAAAAACAACATCTGCATTATTCTACTTATAGAATAATGAAATTTTTATTATTTTTATGGTTTTTTGCCATTTTTTCTGCATAAAGCTTAACTTCAGTTCTTTTCATAAATATAAAATAGTTATTACTTTTAAAAATTTTAACCCTTTAAACACCAGTTTAATAGTAGAGTCTGGCGCATGTCATTGATTCACATCAACATTGATTATTGAATACCATTGAATACCAGTTAGATCACATAATCCTAGGAACTCATAAATGGAAAACATCATAAAACCCCAATTTCTTTTCAAAATAATACATGCCATCTGATTTCTTTTCTAACCATGATGGAGGTTAGATGTGTAGCAATAATTAACAGTATCAATGAATTTTATGCGTCTTTGTTTTTTTGTGCAGTGACAGAAGAACAAAAAAACTCCCTCTCAGCTTGTTCGTGGCCAAAAATGGCCACCCCTGTTTATGTTACAAATGTCTATAAAATTCATATATATTAAAGCATTTTTCTACTTTCATTGACTTGATTTTTTAAATTAGCACCAGTCCTAGTCATGAAAACCAAAATATAATTCAAATTCAGATATTATACCCTTTGAATACCAGTCAGATTATGTATTATTACTACGCTTTTGGGGGAAAATAGTAATAGAGTTCACATTTTTTAGCATATGAATGATGAAACCTAATATTTTTTTTTATCATCATCGCAGGTCAGTAACAGTAACAATGTTACTGGGGGGGGGTTGAATGAATGGCCAAGAAGAAAATCACAATTTTATATTCCAGTGTGTGCTTCTGTGTTCATCCTCATTAGCAGCAAGATGTACTAACCACAGTAGAGTGGTTTTTGTAGCACACTTTCTACACCTGGTGCAAGGGGCTGCTGCTGCAATCCTGGAGGTGCACCTTTTGCACCTTCTTCTCACTTCATTCACAGCAAAATCTCCAGTGTTAAATTAACACTGGAGAGTGTCTATATGGGTCCACACCTCTGAGTGTTAAATACAACACTGTTGAGTGTTAAATTAACACTTTTGACAGTGTTATATGTTTAAAAGTAACCTAGTCAGTTTTGAAGATTAACAATGGCTAACACTGAGCAGTGCTGATTTTCTAACACTGGAAAATAACTCAAAATGTTAGAAACAGTGCTGTTGTCGTTTGAGCTGCAGCTGCAGCTGCAGCTGCAGGTTTGAACAAAATGTCCTGTGATTGGGTTTTGGGTTTTTTTAGAGTTAACATTTTGGGTATGGTCTCTTTTTATGAAAAATACTGAGTAAAAGTGCTTTTAGCATGTGCTTCAAAGCTGAGTTTGACTGGGCTCAATAGCCTGCATCGACAGAAATTCACTGCAGCATCATTATTTATTCCAGTCTGTTACGTTCTGTGAGGCTGTGGGAGTGTGTGGGTGGGGTGTTTGCCCACTCCTACCCCTCTCTGTCTCTCTCACTCTCCTCTCTCCCCAGGACACAGCTGCTGCTGATTAGCCTCGTTTGCCACCTGACTCCAGTCAGCAATCATCCTCTGAGGCTATTTAAACTGGGGATGAGCTGTGAGCAGGGTGGCTTTTTTCCTCGGTGGCTCTACGCATTTCGGTGCTAGATGTTGGACAGACAGCCTCTTTCTGACCAGTGAGCAGACGGGCTTGTGGGCCCTGAGAGTGTCTCCCGTGGTGGGGAGTAGGGTAGGAAGTGTGGGAAGTGCCGCCTTTTTTATTGTGTTTGTTTGGTAGTCTTCCTGCCTTTCGTGGCTGCGAGCGTTTTCTTTGTTTCTTTGGCGTTGTTGGTAAGACGGCGTTGCCGGCCCTTTAAGTTAATGTTAATGTCGTTTGTAATCCACCTGTACCATTTCGTAATAAAGTTCTATTAATACAGAACAACTCTGTCTGTTTTCCTTTTCATTCTGATTCCGGACTCATTTGTTACTGGTCCCCTCACTCATATGCCTAGACCCCTTCGGGGGGAACGTAACAATGTGGGGGCTCGTCCGGGATATGAATGGAAGGAACAACAATTGAGTTTTAGTGAGTTGTTTGCCGGTGGCTTGTTTAGTTGTATGGTATCTGCTGCGCTCTCTCTCCAGTTAGCAAAGGGGAGTGTCTAGCTGAGCGTAAGCTCCTCCTTCAGGCACTCATTTTTTATTTTTCCTTTATTATTTTCGGAGTAATCCCGGGTGGGGATTAGTTCCCTGTCGGGGATAGGCTTGTCGGTGCTTTGTGCACTTGATGCTTAGCCTTTAAAGTTGCCTCGAGCCTGGTACACTCCAGAAGCTAACTAGGCTAAGATTTTAGTAGGCAGGTCTGGGGAGAGGGTCGGCGGTACTTTTATTTATTGGTTAACCTCTGGCCACACTTTTCCCGCCTGTTTTCTCATTTGTGTATTGGAGGTGGTGCTTCTTTGTTGTTATTGTTAGCCTCAGGTAGTTTTTTGTTTTTAGAGTTGATGGCTACCTTTGATATTGCCGTGTTTAATAAAAACCCCTCGCTTGTCCAACTGGACGCCTGTAGGAAGAGGGATTTGCATGAGATGGCATCAGGTTATAGCATTTCTGTTTCCACAGCTCTGCGTAAGGCTGAGCTGAAAGCTGCTCTTGTGGCTGGCTTGGTGGAGAAAGGGATAGTGGCCTTGCCAGTATCTGCCAGTCCACTTGAGCATGGTGCAGCGTCTCAGCCTGTTCCGCAGGCGTCAGCTCAAGCTGTAGGTCCATTGGTGTCGACACCTGTTGGTCAGGGGCTGCCTGTGGACAAACCCATGACATTGCCTCGCTTCGAACCCTCTCCATTGAATCAAGTGAAGGCTCGAAGCAGGATGCTAAGCTCCGTGTACGCCTGGCTCGTCTCCAGTTAGAGAAGGAGGACCGTGAGAGGGAGTTCCAGCTAAAGAAAGAGCTGGAGCTTAGGCATTTAGACGCAGAGCTTGCTAGAGCCAGAGAGGTCGAATTGAGGAAGGTGGAGGTGGAGGCAGAGACAGCTGT